TAAAAAAAGAAAATCAACTTTGGTAACATAATTCTTTACATAAAATATGTATTACAATGTAACTATAATTTTTATATACTTTCTATAAAAATACAAATATATTTTAACTTAGGTTATAAAATACGGAGTACAAAATAAAAGATTTGTACATGAAAGTAGTTACATGGTTTGCACTCATAATTTAAATATGTTTTTTTAGAAACATATCAACATATGTAAAAATATATAGGTAATTCTTTTTTCCAAATTCATTTGATAAATGAAATATTAATGAATTTGATCAATTTCGGGTCTAATCGGTTCCGGGTCTAATCGGTTCCGGGTTTATCCGGGTTCGGGTTTAACCAGGTTCGGGTTTAATCGGGTTCGGGTTTAATCGGTTCAGGTTTAATCGGATTCGGGTCTGAATCGGATTTGAATACATTCGGTTTGGGTTCGGTTCGGTTCGGATCATTTCGGGTGTTCGGTTCTATTTCGGTTCTTCATTTTTCGGGTCAAATCGGGTTCGGTTCCGGGTTATTCGGTTCGGGTTATCGGGTCCGGGTCAGTTTTGCCAGGTCTACTTCCAAGCCACTTCCAGCTAATTTTGTCTTTGACACTTAGTATAGTTGTACGCTCTAGAAGCAGCGAATGATCAATATTGCCATTAGAATCTCGTATTCTTTGTGCTCATTACGTTGCCGCTCTAAGCAAAGTTCCTCGTTGGTGGTGACTTTTCTGTCGACTCTTGTCAGAATGCACTTCGTTGAAGGCGGCCATGGTGGAGACGAGGTCGTCGATAGTTGACCCTTGGAGTTCGGACGCCATCAAATATGATGCCCTCTTCGCCTTCTCCGTATCCATACCAACGGGCCGTGTCGGCTCCAGAGGAGTCGGAATGTTGTTGTCGTCACTTAACAACACCGAGACCTAACGAGTGCCGAACTTCTCAGGGTGACTAGCTATATTCTCCGGACTCTGATATCTTGGTCTGTTTTGTCTGGGAGACATCATTCGGCATCAGAACTCACTCCATGTGTCCATACAATATCGTCCACGCTTTCATGTGTGGAAAAGACGTAATACATTGGGCTGAGCAATGCTACGTTCACAAACAGAATGGTCACAAACTTCACAAAGTTACCATTTATGGTTTAAACTTTCATTTTAAAATTACTCTAGATCATTTAAAATTTTTTATTGAAGTTCACAAATAGTAAGTTTGTGAAGTTTGTGACCTTTTTGTTTGTGAATCTAGCATTTCTCTATTTGGCTTAATACGTGGATAATGTTGTTTTTAAAACGTCTTAGTCACTCGCCTCGCTTTGCAAAGTGATTGAGGGTGGTGGAGTTGTATATACCGGGAGACTTGTTTACTCTTGTATTCAAGTCGGGTAGTTGGGTGAGATGGAGTCGACGAGGTGGTAGGGCTCTGCGTTCATAGGAACTATGGAAGTGAGTAAAGACTGTGGCCGACGACTGATGAACGAGTGTGAAGGCTAATATGTAAGGCCGAATGCTTGGCCGCGCGTGTGTTTTCACTTTGACCTGATCTCGCAATCGCCTCTTGGGCTCTAAGTTCTAATTGGGTTGAAAACCTCCTTGTCCACAATATCCATCCCTCTTATCCTGTTTTGACTTTTAAAGTATTTAAGGAAAAATGTATTTCTGTATTGACTTTCCAAATATGCCCTTGGATATGATGGGTAAAAATAGGATGTGATGGATAGATTAATAATGAATAGATGTGTTAAGAATTAATAGAGATAAAAACGACTTTTTAATAGAAATGAAGAACTGAAGTTTTTTTTGAAACGATGGAAAAAAGAAAGGAGAAAGATTTTGTAAGACAGAGAGTACTACTATTATTATAATAATACTCCCTCCGTCCCTAAATAAACTTCATTTTTTGACTTTTTGATCGAGGATTTAAGGGAGGGATATTTTTGTGTTGATTTTCCAAAAATACCCTTGATGTGATGTGTAAAAGTAAGAGGTGATATGTAAATTATTAGTAAAAAGGTATGATGTGATAGGTAGGATATGAAAAAGTAAGGGGTAAAAGGGGCTTTTTTAAGGGAAAAGAGAAGTTTATTTAGGAACAAAGAAAAAATGAAGTTTATTTAGGGACGGAGGAAGTAGCTATTTTTATTACTATTATACTACGTATTTTTTTTATTATATTTATCATTATTATTTTTATTATTATTACATACTATTATTATATTTATTTTTATTTGTATTATTATTACTCCCTCCGTCCTACAAAAAAGTTCTCATTTTGAATAGTATTTAGTCAAATATTTACACGCTTTGACTACAAATTGTGAGAAAGGTATATTGAATTATTAAATAAATTTTATATAATTGGATTCATCTTAGGATCTAGTTTTGATATCTCAAATTTTTTAGCATTTCTTTATTTAGATTATATTTAATTTAGGGTCAAAGTGTGCAACAGTTTGACCAATTTATGGTCAAAATGAGAACTTTTTTGTGGGACGGAAGAAGTATTATTTATTAAGGAGCATTATTATTATTAATATTATACTACAGGCACTATTATTATTCTTTTGATTAGCATTCCTATTTACAATAAAAAAGAATAATAGTGTACATTAAGACGAGATATATACATAATCCGATCCTATCCTTCATAGAATTCTAATCACATGCAAATTAGAGAAAGGGTTTATCGTATTTCTTCATGCTATAATATTATAATCCATCCTGCAATGATATTAGTGATTTATAACAATGAATGATGCCATAATTAGAAATAATATAATTGAGAGTATGATATGATAGATATGGTCTCTCGTCAAGAGTCAATTATAAGGTTCACAAGCTTGAAGGATGTGAAGCTGCCGCCGGAGACGGCGGGAATCCAACGGTGGCAGAGAAGCAGCAGCTGGGAGGAGATTCCGTTGAAAGATCCGTTACTTCAGTGCGCCGCGTGGGCGTACCTTCAGGTGGCCGTGGTGCCCCCGGAGAACAGCGGGGTACGCTTCTTCCGCAGGGTGAAGGAGAAGTTCTCCGGCGTGCTCGGCTGCCTCCACGGCGTCGCATCCGTCGTCTTTAATGCCCTTGCTTTATTGCCAAGCAAACCACCGGCAATGGAAGATGACGTTCTGTTGCCATCATCCTCGCCACCCAATATGTAGGGCCTGTTTGGAAATGACATTAGAGATTGGCGTTAGCGTTTTGGATAAAATTTTAATGGTGTAGATTACTTTGAATACGCTAACGCTAAACACTCCCCGCAGATAGTCTTTTTAAAACGCTAAATCTAATCTCTTACGCTATTTCCAAAGTAGTACTCTTTAATTTTTTTTCATATTAAAACTTAATGTCATGTTACTTGGAACCTACGATGCCCTAACCCTAGTTTCCTCCTTAGATCGTCGATTGACCGTAGTAATACTGTTAGTAATTGATGATATTATAATGCTCACTCCATTCCATATTTTTAATTATGTCATTAAAACACTCTATCTAACTTGGAGAAAAGATGTTAATTTTTGTTATATTTGCTGTTTTTAATTTAACCAATGTCTAGTTTAACCTATAAGTTTTTTTTGTAATGCAATTTTATATACTACCTCCGTCCCAAAAAGATTTACACGTTTTGACTAAAGTTGAAATTAAGGGAAGGATAATTTTGTGTTGACTTTCCAAAAATACCCTTGATATGATGGTAAAAGTAGGATGTGATGTGTAGATTATTAGGAAAAAGGTATGATGTGATAGGTGAGTTTGAAAAAGTAAGGGGTAAAAGTGGTTTTTTAATAGAAATGGGTAGGAGATTGTGAGACGCAATTTTTTTGAAAGGTGTACATCGTTTTGGGACGGAGAGAGTATTTGTTTATTTGTAAAAGTACGGTTATTGCTTGTGTTGCATGCAATTCTGTTTGTTGATTTTTATAATTTTTATGTGATTAAAATTGCGTAGTATGAATTTGCACGTCGGTGAAATATGATTGTTGTTAATGTTGGTTCGACAGCAGGAGTAATATTATTTACCAATCTGTCCTGAAAAAATTGTACTCTGTAATTGATAAAATTTTGACGGACTTTTCTTATTACAATGTACTCCCTCCGTCCCTAAATAAAGTTCCTCTTTCGTTTTTTCTTTGTCCCTAAATAAACTTCTCTTTTCCCTTAAAAAACCCCTTTTACCCCTTACTTTTTCATACCCTACCTATCACATCATACCTTTTTACTAATAATCTACCTATCACATCTTACTTTAACACATCACATCAAGGGTATTTTTGGAAAGTCAACACCAAAATATCCCTCTCTTAAATCCTCAAAAAGTTAAAAATGAAACTTTATTTAGGGATGGAGGGAGTAATTTTTTTTAATCTCTACCCCANAATATTATTTACCAATCTGTCCTGAAAAAATTGTACTCTGTAATTGATAAAATTTTGACGGACTTTTCTTATTACAATGTACTCCCTCCGTCCCTAAATAAAGTTCCTCTTTCGTTTTTTCTTTGTCCCTAAATAAACTTCTCTTTTCCCTTAAAAAACCCCTTTTACCCCTTACTTTTTCATACCCTACCTATCACATCATACCTTTTTACTAATAATCTACCTATCACATCTTACTTTAACACATCACATCAAGGGTATTTTTGGAAAGTCAACACCAAAATATCCCTCTCTTAAATCCTCAAAAAGTTAAAAATGAAACTTTATTTAGGGATGGAGGGAGTAATTTTTTTTAATCTCTACCCCACGATATGTAAGGAGATAAATCTTATATCGTTTACTCTTTGCTATATTATTGGTTTTCTTTTATTAATTAATTGGTTATTAGTTAAGAAGGTATGTCGATACCCTAAATTTATTTGTACTCCGTATTCAATGACATCTTAGTGGCTCTTCTAAACGAGTGTGCATCTTTAATTTTTTTACAGTAATGAGTATGCATCTAATTATATTACCAAAAAAAACATTTGACACGTTGAACACATGCATAATCAAAAGGAGTTTAATTAATATAACACCTGTTAGACTCAAAGGCTCGGTGTCACCCTGAAATTTGCCACAAATCAAATTCCATGAGAACCCCGGTTTCATCCAACAACTACTGAGAGAATAGATTTCAACCAAGTAATTCGTGCTAAGTAGCGTTTATTGAAGACAGATTTGAAAAAATACCTCATTAAAAGAGACAAGTTTAGAAATTTTAGAAAAATACCTCATTAAAAATAATTCAAACTTTGACCGAATTAAAAAAAAAGCCTTTGTCAATGTTATCAAAGTGATATGATATTCATTAATTAAAATTTAAAGCATGCCACTACACAGGGTATGACAGTGATATGTATCTGTATTTATATTTGGTGTGACACCACCCCCGTTTTTAGAAGTCCATTAAATCTCATCAAACACTTTGGTTTCTACTAAATGAGCAAACAATAACACTGTAAAAAATTGCAAAACTTTTTTTTTTCTTTTACAAAACAACCGCATGTATTGAAAAAGAACTTTCGACACTTTAGCCTCATTCAATTTACTACAGAGAGTAGTAAAAATCAGGGCAAAATACATGCGGAGTATTATGTAGTTTAAAAATGTACAGGGTTTCACCCATGTATATTATTGTGCCTATTACTGTTGTTCCTTTTTGTGTCCGCTAAAATAAGGGCTCCTCTCCCCCACTGGGACAATTCTTGAGCCAAACTCACAAAAAAAAGGGGCTAGTAATCACTTTGAGAATGGCCTCATTACAAAACCCACCATCCAGCAATGCTTCTTTTGACACTTTCAGCAACCAATCATTCAGCATGCCCATCATCATCATCATCATCATCATCATCATGCATTCTTCTTCCTCTGAATATTGTTCTTCGTCCGCTACCCTCCCATCCGTTTTATCAGTAACCTGATCATCGTTGATCACGTGTCCCGCTCCCCTCCTCAGCAGTAATGCTGTACTCATGGTATTACTAATCACTAACTATTTCTTCATCGTACTCATCATCATCATCATCATCATAATCAGCATCAACTTCTTCTTCTTCACCGTCGTCATCATCAATATCCTCCAAGTCTTCATTGCCCCCCATATCATGGGTGTCGGAAAGGTCAACAGGGTCACAAAAGCAATCCTCTTCTTCTTCATCTGCCTCAACATCCACTTCATCACTAACCATATCATCATCATTTGCATCCTCTCCAGCACTTGCACTATCATCTTCATCCACTAGATCAGTAAAGATATCCTCTTCATCACACTCTTCATCCACCTCATAACCATATTCTTCGTCGTCGTCATAAAAGTATTCACCATCACTGTCATCGTCAAGACTCTCAAAGCCAAATAGATGGATTGGACGGGACGTGGAAACCTTTTCAAAAATAAAACTATGTTAGAGGTCCCACCGATCTGTCTCAAGCATACTCAATTTATCAAATACAAGACATGGACCAGTTTTTGGGGATGGAAACAGCATTCAATAATAGTATGTGGCTTAAGGTTAGAATCTACAACACTCAAAACATGACAAATAACTGATTGCCGTAAATGCATTTGTTAGAGTTGGTCTGCCTCACATAAAACTCTTTACACACAAACACACACATCTCAAAAATCCCAATATATTGTAGCTGAAAGTCGAACTCCTCACCTTCTGGCCAATTTAATCCGAAGATTGAATACCAGTTATGGCATGAGTGGAATAGAGAAAGTTAATTTACTCAAAGCATCACAATTTATGGGTATTATACTATTTCTTTTCTGGTCTCCAGAGTGCATAAAACAAAACATGCATTCGATTTCAGCTTTTGAGTGCCAGGAAACAGATCAGATCAAATCTTATAACTAGAGTAAATTCCATAAATGGTCTCTTATAATGGGGTGTTTTTTGATAAATAATCCCCAATTCTATGAAATTACATTCCTGGTCCGCTATATTTGAGAATCATTCCATAATCAGTTCTTTGACCCAAATATAGTTTTCCAAATATAGTTCTCAAAGGATGGATTATGGAATAGTTCTCAACTATCAAGGACAACAAATGTGATTTCTTAGAATTGGAGACTATATATGAAAAAACCATATTATAAGGGACCATTTATAGAATTTACTCTTGCTATTATTAATACAGGTTAACATTAATCCAAAATCAATTAACAGTTCTCACATGGATGAAAAGCAGTAAACACTACTCTACACTTTTACCATTAGTGTTTGCAGAAATAGTTCAGTTTAGTACATACCTTTGAGACGTTTATAGGCAACTCTCTCTTCTCAGTCGCTTTCGGGGTCCATATTTTTATGTCAGTCTCAATACCACTGCTGGCAAGAACTGACGTGTGAGGATGAGATACAATGCAATTTACAACATGTCTATCTCCTTCCAAAAGATTGACAAGTTCCCCGTCCTTTTTCTTCCATATGAAAATCCGACCACAATCCGACCCACTGACAACATATTCACATTTAGGACCAAAGAAGCTAACACCCTTCACTGTTTCAGAGTTCTGGTGTCCCGTGTAGGCTTGGGGCCTCTCACTAGCATCATCTTGACTGGAAAGCGGGGAACTTTGGGGTGGAGAGGGTCCAAGACCCATATTTTTTGAGAAAAGATAGATTAACTCGTCATTATATGAAACAAGAAGCTCGCTTTGATCCGAAAAAGCCAAGCCAGTTATGCTCACATTTCCACCACCAACTAAGTGAGAAGGACAAAAGAAGTCAACGGGTTGACCAAATTTACGTGAGTTGTTAAACTTAGAACTGCGGAGATCAAAAAGCCTGGCATATACATCAGATCCAGCAACTGCAAATAGGTTAGAGTTTCTTGGATCTATTGCAATTGCATTCAGATGAATAAAAGACATGTAACTCCTGTGTCCAAGAGGTTGGCAAGTAAGAAGTCTTGTGGCGGCTCCTGTTCTCAGATCAATCTGTGAGGGGGATGAAACACTTGAGACCACATATCAAAGAGGAAAATATAAAGAAATGGTTAAATATCTTTCAAGCCTAAGGCCTAACGTAATGGCTTATTTCTTATGTACTTGAACAAAACCCAAAAGTAAAAATGAAATACACCTAAGAAGTGAACAAAGAAAGGAGTTGTAGCTTACACGTTGAACGAGTCCATCTTCACCACAGCTGTAGAAAATGTGAGGGCTTCCCGGTTCAATGGCCAACATGTGAACCTCACCTAGATGCTTTGCCAGTAATTTAGTCTCAGCTTTCCCATGTGGTAGAATATGAGTGCATCTTATCTGAAAGGAGTATCATAAATAAGGAAGCAGCAGAAAACAGTAATAATCATGCACCAATCATCATCCATAAAAATGATACATTCATCCTTAGTAGATACCTGTCCATCAGCAGCAGAAGTAACAATACATTGATCATCAGTGTACGGCATGAACTTGGCCTGAAAGACATTATTATTGTGTCCCGAATGAAGTTCAAGTTTAACTTTTCCACTTTGCCAGTCCCAAAGTATAAGCCTCGTATCATCAGATCCTGATACAAGGATGTCACCATCATGATTGAAGCTTACTGCATTGACACAGCCACTATGTTTTTCTAGTTTGCGGAATATCTCAAGACGCCTCACAAGGTCCTGCACACCAATGCCAAAATAAGTACTCCGTCCATCCCCCACCCCCCAACGAGTAATGTTTTCTCCCATAAAAAGAGGTGTATTTCTCAATTTGCTTAGAAATATAAGTATATTTAGTGTTTGAAAGTAGTAACGTACTACATGCAAAAAAGTTATACACTCAACAAAGTGAACTCTTTTTATAATGAGTAAACAAATAACGTAACAAATATTCCACGCGGTTATGAGACAACACTGTTAACCCATTTCTGGCTAAATATATAAATACAAACCAACATAAATAGGAGTATAGTACTTTGGACTACTCCTCAGAGCTAGAACAGGAGCCAAGTTAGCAATTTGATGCAGCTGTGAAATGCTTTCAGCAGCAGAACATCTCGAAGAAAGAGATCTAGTAGAACGGCAAGGAGCATCCCTAATTAATGTTTATTGCTTCCAGGTGATGTTTTTGTGATGAGGTTGGAGTCTCGTGTTGAATCCAAAATCTGTTCAGCGCATTAGGGATGCTCCTTGCCATTCTATAGTTCTACTACACCTCCTTCTTCGAGAGAGAGAGGTTCTGCTGATGTAAGCATTATGCAATTGCATCAAATTGCTAACTTGGCTCCTGCTCTAACTCCAACGGCGGCTCCTGCTCTGACTCCATGCCACAAAATCAACCAAGGAATTGGTTCAATGCAGAAGTTACTCACAGAAGTTAGTAGTCATTGATGAACTACTCGAGTCCGGAGTCCCTATTTGCCTCATTTTTTAGATTGCTACACTTATCTACCTCCTTATTCAAAATCCAATACTCCAATCATTATCCAATATTCATATTATGAATCCACTCATTGAAGCACGCAACTAGGATTCAGCAATTACTGAATTGAAAAAGGCTCATTCCCAGCAAATTCATAATAACAGTAACGAATATCGAATTAGACTACAACTACCCATTAAATTGCAGGGAGGGGGAGGGGGAGGGGGTGAATCCGTAACGAGCAATAAAGAACATAGGATGGCATATGAAAGATAGCACGTTAGTTGAAGCCGGTGTTAATAAGAAAAACAAAGGAAAGAAATAAAAACCTCTGGGGCGGCGAGACGGAGAGCGAAGTTTCTGGGGGAGAGATGTCCGACCTCTCGTTTCCAGAGATCGACAACCGCCGTGTCGACGCCGGTGGCTGCCCTATTTCTCATGGTTGTGTGATTAGAAGGGTTTTCTTCCGTTTTAATCACAGAGATAGTCTCTAGTTTGTAATTTTTTGTTTTTTGGTCAAAATTTGTAAATTTTGATATCAAATTAAATAAAAATAATACAGAGTATAAGATATTTGTTGCATATTAATACAATATAAGTAGACTTGACAAAAAATAATCCAACCTATTTTTGAATCGAGACCCCACCCAAAACTACTGGGTTTTCATAATAATACAATATTATGATTATTATTATTATTATTATTATTATTATTAGCAAAATAGCACTAAGGCCCCATAAAAAAATGTGTATATCCCCATTTAACTTTTATAATATTCAGTTGAGTAAAAAAAAGTTAAAATATTTGAAAGTTTTAATTGAAATTAAGATTGTTTATTCACTTGATTAAAAATTATGTGTCGTAAATCATAATAATAATAATAATATGAATTTAATATTACTTTTATCGTTTCGTATTACTAATGACGACATATGTGAGCTTGTGGGCCACGGTTTTGTCGAGTTTGCTTCAGCTGACGGAGCCACGAAGGTGAGAGTACTTTTATAGTAGTGATGAAGTGTGTTTTTGGTAGTCATTTGAGAAGTAGTGTATACTGATGTTGAAAATTACACAAGTAATTTGAAAGTACCATTGCTGGTAAAATCTGTTATATTCCAAGCCCGCGAAAAGAAGGATGGTGAATATTTGTGCGGCAACCAGATTACTCTTGGCGTGGTTGGGACCCACAAGCGTAGAGTCTGGGACCCTCCACTAACCATGTAACCTGATTTTCCATGTTACGGAGATATGTTTGTGTAACACTGTTTGCATCTTATTGCTAGAGTTTTGATGCCATCACAGAAGACTAATGCTATTATTTTTTGTTCATTAGGTATTGCATAGATCACAAGGTTTGGTAAGAGACATAACTATCTGCTTCTTAATCTTGTTATCAAGAACACATTCGATGAAGTTTTTGGTATAGAAGGAGAGATCATGGGGGGTTTTTTGATATTCTAGGTACGAAGACTACCTCCGACGAGGAAACCTTTTGATAGAAGAAGATGAGGGAGTGGAAAGTCTTGATGAATTGGTTGAGGTACCTATTCCTATTATTTCTTCAAAATAAGTTGTGCTTAGAAGAACCACCTTGAGGTTTAATAACAGAACTGAATTTGGGGATGTATCTACTTTTTATTGATATGCAATTAAAGTATTTTTCTCCTTCGAGTCGTGCTAACACATTTGGCTGTTAAATTCAGGAAGTTTCTGTGAGAAAAAAGACACTCTTTATCAACAAACTCCCCGTCAATGTTAAAATGCATCATATGTAAGAAGCACCTTTAATTTCCTCTTTCGTTGTTGGAGAAAGTTTTTCATGACTGACATCATATCTTCCATTTATACAGCCTCAGTTTCTTTCGAGACGTTGGAGAAGTTAGTGTTCGACTTGTTGTAAATTTGAAGCTTTGTTAAGTTTGCTTCTGCTTTCGAAGCAAGGAAGGTGAGATTGTATTTACCATGCAAGTCGTCATTTGAAATTAGGGAATACTTATGGTGAAAATTATACAAGTAGTTGTTTGAAAGTACGATCGTTGCTGAATAAATCTTTTATACGTCAGGCACTGCAAGAAAAGAATCAAAGTGCAATGTGCCGTCATGTTATTTCTCTTGACGCGGTTGAGATAGCTCCATATCCTCTTCGACCCAAGTAAATTGTTTGTCCATGATACAATTTGATAATAACTTGTCTTATTGAATATTGAGAGATATGACCCTATATATAGGGAATACAAGAGTAATCAAAGTACAAGTAGGAAAGGAAAGAATAATCCTAGTAGGAAAGGAAAGAAGTATCCTAATTTAATTATACTTCCTAATATCCCCCCGCAAGCTGATCAACGGAGACGAGGGACAGCTTGGAACATAAGTACTCAAAAGGAACTGGCGGAAACGGTTTGGTAAGAATGTCTGCTAGCTGCTCTGAGGAGGAAACATGATGTGGAGTCATAGTGCCTGCCATAACCTCATCTCGTACAAAGTGACAGTCTGTGCCCACATGCTTCATGCGATCATGAAGAACCGGATTTTTGGTGACACAGATAGTCGACTCATTGTCACAGTATAGCTTCGGTTTGGACGGAGGAATACCCAGTGCATCAGTGATATATCGAAGCCACATAGCTTCTGCAACCCCTGCAGCCATAACTCGATATTCAGCTTCAGTGGATGATCTAGAAACACGAGTCTGCTTTTTCGTGCACCAAGAGATGATATTAGGACCGAGTAGGAGTATGTAGCCCGTGGTAGACTTGCGATCATCTTTATCATTGGCCCAGTCAGAGTCAGAGTAGACAGATAGGTCGAATCCCCCCTTGCGAAAAAGAAGACCATGATTCAAAGTGCCTTTGAGATAGCGCAGAACGCGTTGCAAGGCATGATAGTCCTGCTCAGTGGGGTTGTGCATAGTCTGAGACACTCGATTAACAGCATACTGAATGTCTGGACGAGTGACAGCCAAGTAATGTAAACCGCCAACAATGCTCCGAAAATGAGAAATATCCTTGAAAGGCAACGAAGGCTTAGTGATAGGTCTCGTAGCCATAGGAGTAATAGCCGGATGACAGTCGGACATCCCAGCTCGGCGTAGAAGATCACGGGCATATTTGGATTGATGGAGAAGTATAGAATCTTGCGTGCGCTGAACCTCAATGCCAAGGAAGTAATGAAGAGGTCCAAGTTCTTTGAGCTTGAAGTCACGGTGCATGGCCTGAGTAACTTCTGAGATGAGAGTAGAAGAGCTGCCAGTGAGAACAATATC